ATATCCTAATGGTTTCACAACTTCAGGTGTGAGGATAATGTTCCCAAAAACCTTTCTCTTGTTAAGAGAATTTAATTCAACTTGCATAGCTTCCTTCCATTTAGCCCAATCATTTCTTCTTTGACATTCAATGACAGATTGTGGTTCGGGATCATCATTCATAATATCACATGCAACTGAATAAGAAAATATTGCACCTATATTGTCAGTTTCATTTTGGTCACATATTCTATTTGTCTGACCATAATTTAATGCATCATCCTCCTTTCCTGGGGAATTTGAATAATTCGTGTTTCTCCAGGAACACTTTCATCGTGATCTAGTGCATTTTCTGCTCCTCTTCTTTTTCGTGGGTTCTTATCCTTAGAACCAAATGGTCTTCCACGCTTCAGGCGTGTTTTAGACTCTTGAGTGACTTTATCATCAGATTGTCCATGTGGAATGTCAATTCGAGCTGGAACATTGACAGCTGGTATATATGATTTAGTCACCCTTTTTGTGTCAGTAAATGCATCAGGTAATTGATTTGCCATTTCTTGGAAATGCATTATTTTTTGAACTTCCATGTCACATTGCTTTGTGCGAGGGTCAAGATATGATAAAGTAGGCTCATGCCATGACACATCCTTTTCTAGAATCTTCTTTTCTCCACCTAATGATGGGAAATTTGCCTCATCAAATTGACAATCTGCTAGGCGTGCTGTGAAAACATCACCTGTTAATGGTTCAAGATATCTTATAATAGAGACTGACTCATAACCAACATATATTCCCAACCTTCTTTGAGGACCCATTTTTGTCCGTTGAGGTGGTGCAATAGGGACATATACTACACACCCAAAAATTCTCAAATGGGATATATTTGGCTCTTGACCGAAAGCAAGTTGTAGTGGAGAATATACATGATATGAACTTGGTATCATGCGTATCAATGATCCAGCATGTAAGATTGCATGGCCCCAAACAGAAACAGGAAGTTTGGTCCTCATTATCAATGGTCTAGCTATTAGCTGGAGACGTTTAATCAGTGATTCAGCTAAACCATTTTGTGTGTGTACATGAGCAACTGGATGCTCAACAACAATTCCTACAGACATACAATAGTCATTAAATGCTTGTGAAGTAAATTCACCAGCATTATCAAGTCTCACTCTTTTGATAGTATAATCAGGGAAATGTGCCCTTAATTTAATAATTTGGGCAAGAAACTTTGCAAATGCCATATTACGAGTTGATAATAGGCAAACATGAGACCATTTGCTGGATGCATCTATTAAGACCATAAAGTATCTAAATGGTCCAGATGGTGGGTGAATCGGTCCACATATATCACCTTGAATTCTTTCTAGAAATCTAGGTGACTCCCTTTCAACTTTCATTGGAGAATGTTTTATAATTAACTTTCCAAGGGAACAAGATGCACATGGTTTTATGCTATTGGATTGAGGAAACTTTTGGTCCTTCAATGGATGCCCGTGTGTATTCTCAATTATCCTTCGCATCATTGTTAATCCTGGGTGGCCCAACCTATCATGCCATAAACTGAATGTCCCAGGATCCAATGTTTTCCTTCTACTACCATATTTGATTCAATCATATGTATATATGTATAATGCAGACCAGAATCAAGTGTTGGTAGTTTTTCAAGCACATGGTTTTTGTCTATAATATACATATATTTCTTATTTTCAATGGTCACAGTTTTTGTGTCATAACCTTTGAAATATATGTCATTGAAACTTAATAAGTTTCTATTAGACTTTGGAGAAAATAAGGCATTTTCTATACAAAAGCTTGTACCATTTGGTAATATAAAATGGGCTTTCCCGGTTCCCTCTATCAAGTCTGCAGGACCTGATATTGTATGTATGACTGTTTTTGTTGGTAGTAATTCTGAAAAATATTTCTTTGATTGCAGAATAGTATGTGTACTACCACTATCTGCTATAAAAAGATCTCCAATCTTTTCTTGGTGTTGTGCTCCAGTTGGACTCATATTAAACTTCACATATAAAAGAAATAATAAGTGAATAAACATAATCATATTATTATTAAAAAGAAAGCTCATTTATTGTAGGAAAGACATTACATGAAAAAAAACGAAGGAAAAACAGTTTTACTAGAACAATAATAGATTTTTTTTTAGTTTATGTCTTCCATGTCATTACAGAAATCAGCAACATTTAGCGGAGTGAATTCAACATTATCAATGAGGTTTGCTTCTTTTCCTTTTCCTTTAATGGACTCTTGATAAAGTCGACAAATATGTGCAGGTGTGCGACAGGTCCTTGACCAATGGCCTGTGCTACCACATCTATAACATGAACCATCAGATTTTTGTGATGTCCCAGTGTCATGCCTTGCCACTTTGGCCTTATCTTGTGTGTGAACATTGTTTCTTTGTGAATATTGGTAATTATTTCTTTTCTGGCCACGACCACGATTATTACCTTGTCCAGGACCAGAATTATGGTTCTGATTATGGCTTTGGTTTCGATTAAAATAGCCATGGCCTCGCCCTCGACCACGACCTCGCCCTCGTCCACGTGTATTGTTTCGATGGCCATCAATATCAATATTTGTAGTGCTAGTGCTACTGATCCCGTTAGACGAGATTCATGGTTTTTCATTAAGAGTTCATTGTTTTGCTCTGCAACGAGCAGACGTGCATTCAGTTCAGAATATCTTGTGAACTTTTGCATCCGATACCGTTGCATCAAAGTAATGTTTGTTGCATGAAATGTTGAGTAAGTTTTCTCCAACATATCTTCATCAGTAACCTCTTGTCCACAATGCTTGAGTTGTGAACATATTCTGAACAAAGCTGAGTTGTATTCATTTACTTTCTTGAAGTCTTGAAACCTTAGTGTTCTCCATTCATCTCTAGCATTTGGAAGTATAACTTCCTTTTGATGATCAAATCTTTCTTTCAAAAGATTCCAGAGAATATTTGGATCAGTAACATCAAGATATTCAAATCTCAACATTTCATCAATATGCTTACGAAGGAAAACTTGTACTTTTGCTTTGTCTTGTGCCAAGCAATTATTAAATTCATATATAGTATTTGAGATACCCATGGATTCAAGATGCATTTTTACATCTATCATCCATGGCACATAGTTTTCCCACTAACTTCAAGTGCTGCAAACTCGAGCTTTGCAACACAAAATAAAAATTAAAATAAAAATCCATTTATTTCAATAAATATTACACAAAAAAGAAGCGGTAAAGCTAACATTGCATACAAGCCTAAAAGTAGATGAAATTTCATATTATCTTCGATGTTAAGGATTGGGATGAAAAGTAACATGACTATTATAGTCATGATTATCACAAAAGGATGAATCATCTTGAAGCTTGATTTCTTGAAATTGATTTATTTGATAGAAGAGAGAAATATTTGTTGTGGGTAAAATAAGCAGGGTAAAGATGTTTATTTATGGTAAAAAAATATAGCCGTTGTTTTTGCTATTTATAACCGTTGCATATATATTCCCGTTGTGTATATATGTATATGTATTTTATAAATCATATAATAAGACTTATAACTAATACATAACTTTACTAATTAGAAACATAAATAAATATTAGTAAATGTTTAAATAAAATTATTAAGAGTATCTAAAATATAAATAAACATTGACATGTATAAATAAATATAATTTAAATGTTAGTATGCACAAATAAAAGTTAGTAGCATAATATAAATGTTAGTATGCATAAATAAAAGTTAGTTGCATAATGTAAATGTTAGTTTGCATAAATAAAAATTAGTTGCATAATGTAAATGTTAGTATAAAAATTAGAATACATAAAGAAATGTTAGTATAAGAAATAAAATTGTTTAGTAGTTATAATGTCCATAATGTATAAGTTTCATTAATTCATTAATATTATTATTATTTTAATATGATTGAAGTTTTTATAATTAATAGTGTTTTTAATAAGTAATACATACCTTGATTAAGATAGGTGTGATTTCCACTTGTTTAATAACCTTGATTAGAGCTTTCGTGTTGATAACGTGTTATGAATTAAGCGTAATTAATGTAACTATAAATCAAACCAAACTAGTAAACTTTGATAAAAACTTTAATTGAGAAGAAAGAATATTTAGAGAGAATATGAAAGTTATATCTCTTATAACTTTTGGTGTGTTTCATTCTTTACAATGGAAGGGTATTTATACTACAAATTTTACTAACATATAATTGTAACTAGTTAGAAATGTTGACAAATCTACCATGCACCAATTATTATGTCATCCACCAATTATTTACAACAATATATATATATATATATATATATATATATATATATATATATATATATATATTATATCGAGAGAGAGAGAGAGAGAGAGGTTCAGGTTTTAAAGTAATTATTGTGTTATTGTATGCATAAATGTGGACCAATCAATTTAAAAACCTAGATGGGGTAAAATTGTAATCTTAGCTTTTAATTAATTTTGGTAATTAATTATTCAAATCATAAACCCTTTAATTTTAGGCAAAATCGTTTACATTTACCGCTTTAAAACCCTAGATAGAAAACATCGACCTTCTTCCTCGTTAACTTCAATCCCACCGACGCAGAGGGGCGGGATGGACATAGGAGTTCCTGCTCGTACACACTCCTCGTACACAGTCAACATTATCAATCCCCAAATCCCAAGATTGCTCCAACCTCCAGGAATTAAGTGAAGTTGTGGCGCCAGAACCAGAAGAGAGTAAGCCGAGAGCTGCTAAACAGCCCATTGCTTCCCCCACCGAGATCGACGACGGCTGCTTCGTCGTCCTCCTTTCTTCAAATCAACTCCGCACCAGAGGCGATCATTGATTCGTGTGTTGATTTCTGACCTACATTCGTTCCTTATTACTCGATTAATCAAGGATCGAAACCCCTCAACTGATTTATGCCTCCGATTCTTTCTAGCCTCCATATTTTCCATCGATTGACTGCCTTCGTCCATGTTTTTTTTTCCGTCGAATGTTCAAATGAAAGAAAAGGGCACAAAAACGCTTCAAATGCTCCAAAGAGAACTTGATGTTCAAATACATGGTAAGATTTATGGTATTTTCATGTTCTGATTTTGTAAGTATTTTCATCTCCTTTTTTTTTATTTTTTTCATGGAAATATTTCTCGTGAACAGTAATTATGTGATTCTAACAAGTCATGACGGTTCAGAAATCTTAAAGAACACAAAAATAATTCTATGAGAATATTGCACACCAGGTGTTTGTAGAAATGTTTGAAAGAGAACTTGATGTTCAAATTCTTGAAGAACACAAAAATAATTTATGAGTTCGTTATTTGTGTTACTTGATTTTAACATGTAGTATGAGTTCTCTTAGAATTACTAAAATTTGTTTTATGTTTGTCGTATAAAAGCATTCTCACATAATTTTATTCTTACATAATTCATTTTCATGACAGTTATTCTTATAGAATGAATGAAGTACATGATGATCAATGACCCGAAGGTTGGATGAATGCGTGTGGGATAGACATGAACAATCCTCAATGGTCACCGATCTTCCAGAAAAATACACTACTCATTGTCATATTCTGTTAGATTAATCTATAATAGAATGATAAGAGTATATGTAATAGTATATTCCAATAGAATAATCTACATATTATATTTGTTTGTTATTAGGGAGTGTTCTAATAGAATAATCTACATATCAAAATTCAAAAATTAAGATAATCAAAGATTCATTAAAATCTGAAAGTTTGTTTTTTTTAAATTTGAGTTTCCTAATTTTAAGGCGATGCAAATGTACAATATTACCATTCTTTTAATTAAATGACATTATTCTATTTTTATTTTATTTAATAATATAGGTAAATCACTTTCTTAAAATAAGTAAAAATGATTGGCCCACATTACAGCCTCACATAAGCTTAGGTACTAAACCTCTTGAAAATACATTGTTTTACTATATAAAGATTACGGTTAATGGATTCACGATTAATACTTCAAGATATAAATTCAAGATCGACACAATAAGGTTTAGGGTTTAGGGTTTAGGGTTTAAATTTAGGGTTTAGGGTTTAGGGTTTAGGTTTAGGGTTTAGGTTTAGGTTTAGGGTTTAGGGTTTAGGGTTTAGATTTAGGGTTTAGTGTTTAGGTTTAGGGTTTAGGGTTTAGGGTTTAGGGTTTAGGTTTAAGGTTTAGGGTTTAAATTTAGGGTTTAGGGTTTAGGTTTAGGGTTTAGTAATGTTCACTTGGGTGAAGTAATAAACGATAATTGAGGAAAGAAAAAAGAGATGGTAAAACGATAATGAAAGAAAGAAATGTTGTGGAGGATGATATATTTACCAAGTGAAAACAAACCGGGTATATTTAGCATGTTAAAACGACATATTTTAGAAGTTTAGTACCTAAGCTTAGGTGGGGCGTTGTTTTGTAATGTATATTCCCTATCCCTTATATATATATAATATAATATATATATATATATATATATATATATATATTACTTTCACCTTTTTTTTCTCATTATCAACAAATTATAAAAAGTGTCACCAGGTTACCTAATATGATCCAATCCGTTTTAATTCATACTAAAAAATTATCCATTTAAATCCAATTGTGTTTAAACTCATGTCCTAGCTCATTCGATCCGTACCCATTTTACGAGTTTCACCATTTAACATTTTCACTATAGTGGGAAAACAAAAAATATGATGATAACATGGCTTAATTTTTTGTTTTGTTTTTATGATAAATAACTTGATTTATTACTTTTATAAAACGAAGTAAAATTTTCATCTATATTAATAATATTTAATTATAAATAGAATTTTATTTAAATAATATATTGAAGAAAAATGATAATATTCATTGATCACATCAATTAACAAATAATATAGTCAGGGGCGGAGCTAGGATTTTGGAATAACGGGGGTTTATATCTTAATAAAAATTTAAAATATTTTTTATATCAAAATATCATAATAGAGCTTGTAAAATTCACAAAGAAATTAATAAGAAAAAAATCGTCTAGATATATATAGGAGCATATCGATTTTTATTAGTATCACTAATCAGATACAATTGTGTGTAATACAAAAGAATCGATGGGATGCTTGTTTTTTATTCATTATTTACCCTATAATTATAATAAACCAAATTATCAATAATAATTAAATTATTATTTACAAGTTACAAAAAATAATATATGTAATAAGAATTAAAATTTATTTAAAGTATTGAAATATTGTAGATGTAGCTATGAATCTAAAAACAATTTCTTAAAACATAATGTTGGAAAATCTTGGTTAATCGTCAATTATAAAATCTATATGCAAACAAATGATAGTGACAAAATAAGATAAATAGGCATATAATGAATAAATAGGCATATAATCACTGACCAATTAAAATATAAGAAATAAGGGTGGACGCAATGATCTTTAAGTCAGACGTGTACAATTCTCATGGTCAATTTTATTTATATATAATAATTGTTTATTTTTTAATAATTGGGAGGAGCTCATTATTAATAAGTAATAGATATGGGCTCATTTTATATATAATATATCAGGACTTTCAAAGAGATCAAGGGGGCAAAGCATCCGGCAGCCCCCCTATTCTTTCCGTCACTGAATATAGTTTTGACTACAACAATACATGTCTTAGTTTTTCTATGATTAATGACGTAAAAGGTACCATCATTTGCTTGGTGATTACATTTAGGCAACAATATTTTTTTATAAATATTTGAACATTGAACTTATTTTATTTGTTTAAAACAAAGATAATATCATCGATTTTTATAAATAATATTACCTTTTTGTTTAAACATATATGAAGAAAATTCAATAGTCAAATATATCAAAAAAATATATATATTGTTGACTAAATATAAATATAAACACCAAAAAAATATGTCACCTTTTTAATTCATTAACCCTAATATTTATCATAAAACAAACATAAATTTTAATGCCAAAATTGAAGTCCTAAAAATTAATTATGAGTTAGAACTATAGTAATTTATTTAAATAGCAATTACAAAATTTTTTATACCATCGATGACACCATTCTTAGAGGACAAAGAAAAGAAGCATTTGATTTTTTGTTTTTGTTTCCTAACGCAAAATCCCAAAAGAGATGTCTTTCTCCTCCTCCGCCTCACCATTTTAAAATGCCTCAAATTCTCCAAATAAACACACACCTCAAAACCCTCTCTTCCATCCCTCTCTCCTCTCTCTCACAAACAGTAACCTTTCTTGGTTACACTCCACTACCCATTGTTTTTATTACCCAAAAGAAACAAAGAAACCCTCAAAAAAACAACCATTTCAAATCCACACTTTATTTTTTGTTTTGATGAAGAACAATCAAGAAAGAGATAGACTCACAACTTCATTTTATCTCTCGCTTTTTTGATCAATCTCAAAACAGTGAAACACCTTTTTCAATTTGCTCATCTTTTTGTTTACAATTTTGCATTTTCATGGAGCAAATTTGGGGGTTTCTTCATTTACCCTGTTGAAGCTTATCTTTTTCACCAATCTTGAAATACCCATTTGGATTCTGGTATTCAAATAGAAACCCAAGAATCCTCAACGTTCATAAAGGTATTTTTCTTAAAATTTTACTCTCACTCGAAGTAATAACATAGTTGACAATTGTTTATTTATTTCGGAGATATGTTCTTTTAGTTTATGATTGGTGTTTTCTTTAGATTTGAGGTTGCTTTTCTTGATGTTTGATTGATAGCTCTATCTGCTCTTAGTACTTTACCTAACTTTTATTATTATATCATCATTTGGATTTGATTCTGATTTCTCCTCTTTTAAATTCCATTTTTTAGGGTTTTATAATTATATCCATCATATATGTTTGCGGATTCTGTTCATTCGAGTAAAAAAAAAAGTTGTAGTCTGCTTAGCATCACCAAAATCATAAACATCGATGTGGGTTTGTTTTCTTGTTCATTTTCTTGCTTTCTTCACTGAAACAAAACAGATTTAAGTACCCTTTTAAAATTATTCCTGATAATGGTTTTGGTTTATCCTTGTGTCCTGATAGCGACTCTGCTTTTAAGTTTCTTTCATCATCATTATCAAGAATATGCTCTTAAATGTCTTTGTATGCCGTCTTTTGCTTCGTTTATATGCAAAGAATCTTTTATTCCTCCCTTCACATGTATGCAAAGAATCCGTCTCCATGACTCAAACCCCCCCGAATCGAAAATAAATCGTTTTCTAAGCAAATCGAGGCAGATGTCGATCTTCGTGATTCTATTCTCTTTCTCTTTCATGTTCTTATCGATTTTTGAAATCTTGATTTAGTTTCAGGTGGGCCATGAAAGGGGAAACATCGTGGGTTAGTCATTGTCTTGACGATATTTCTAGAAGCAATGGCGACTTTGATTCGTTCGCAGAGGTTACAGACGAGGGTAATAAAGACAATTCACCTGTATTACGTGTCGATTTAATCCTACCCGATGATTTACTAGAACGAATCCTAGCTTACCTCCCGATTGCAAGCATCTTCAGGGTCGGTTGCGTTTGTAAAAGATGGCATGAAATCGTGAGTTCGCGACGCTTTTTATGGAACGTGTCACCAATTTCGTCACAAAAGCCATGGTACTTCATGTTCACAAGCTCAGATGACCCGTTTGGATACGCATATGATCCTGTCCTTCGAAAATGGTATGAAATCGAGCTTCCATACATGGTGAAAACTTCAAGATGGTTCATAGCTTCATCATCTGGGTTAGTTTGTTTCATGGATAACGACACAAGAAGTGAACTTTACGTCTGTAATTTGATCACAAAATGCTGTTTCCGCCTCCACGAGCCGCCAAATTTACGGTTTTGTGACTATTCTGCCCTTGCAATCTCCGTTGACCGCGTTTCAACAAACTATGAAGTAACAGTCGTGAAATCAAGACAAGTTCCTGATAATTACTTCCAGTGGGACCTCTCGATCCATGTGTACGACTCCGTGGCGATGACGTGGACGACACCTGTCAGCGAGATGCTGACGGGGTGGCGAGGTGGCGACGAGAGCGTGATATGTAATGGGGTTTTGTATTTTATAATATACTCAACGGGGTCGTTTCAAGAGCATCGACACGGGCTTGTTTGTTACGATCTTTCGGGTCGGGTTTCGGGTCGGAGTTTGTTGACACGGGGTTTTGTTTCCGTTCCGTGTTCGCTTACGTGTGGGAGGTTGATGAATTTGAAAGGGGAGTTGGTGATGGTGGGCGGAATCGGAAAGCAAGATCGACAGGATATCATCACCGGAATCGGAATTTGGGTTCTTGAAAACGGGAAGGAATGGAAAGAGGTTGGTCGAATGCCGCATAGATTCTTTCAAGGGTTTGGTGAACTTGATGATGTTTTTGCAAGTAGTGGGACTGATGATTTGATTTATATTCAGAGTTATGGTGCTCCTGCTCTTCTGGTGTTTGATTTGAAAAAGAATCAATGGAAATGGTCTCAAAAATGCCCTGTTACAAAAAGGTTTCCACTTCAATTGTTTTCGGGATTCTGCTTCGAGCCTAGGCTTGAAATTTCACCTTAATGGTGGTTTTTTATTCGTAATTTTCTATTGTTTTATGGGAATTATGTGTTACACAAGAGATTTATGATACATTTGCTACAATCTTGTGTGATTATGGTGCAACTTATAACACTAACCTTTGTGATTTTGATCAAGAAATGAACACTTTTAAGGAAAAAAATGTTTATTTAAGCAATGTATCCAATATGATGGTATTTTTGCATTTATATATTTTTACAAACGATATATTCTTTTGGTGTTTATATCATTAACGTTTTTTTGAAAAGAATCTTGGTTAGTGGATTATTATGTGAATGTACTTGAATTTGTGGATAATCATAATCTTTAGCATATGTGAAGGCTTGAAAGTTGTTCTAAAATGGTGGCTATTATGCTACAAAGGGTTGTTCTGTTTACAATGGCTAGACAAAATACGTAGACCACATTTTGGAATTATCAAATCTTGAGAATGTACAACTCTTAATGCATAATGTGCAAGTGATGAATGCATTGTATTTTGTAATATTACTAAAAAGAATTAGTTTAAAAGAATAAAACCGCAGCCCAATTGTCACTATCTTTTATATTTGTTTTGAGTTTTTGAGGTCTAAGCCCATCGTGTCATTGTCAAAGCTACTTTTTTTGATGGTCCATTATTGATATCTCTTTAAGTTTTGAGGGGGCAATTTGTAGGTATGTTTTCTTTTTTCCTCTTTTCTTTATTTAGCTGTAAATCTTTTATCAAATTTATTTTCTAGCAACTTTGTGTGGATTGTAAAATATAGAGTTATAGAAGTAAAGTTAAGTAACTAGTTGTCTTAGGGGTGTTTGTGATTGCTTATTTGAAATAATTTATATTTTGTTTTCTTATAAAAATGCTTATAAAGTTATTCGGTGTTTAAATGGAGTTTTAAATAAGCATTAGATTGATTTATTCAAGATCAAAACATAATAAGTTTCATAAATACTTTTATGTTTGACAAAATATGTTATAATAATAATATAAATTATTAAAACTTCTAATGAATAAGTAAGTATAAAACTAACTTATAAAACACTCATTATTAGAGTGAATAAGCTGTTATAATATTATTTTATCCAAACATTTAATATAAATTATTCAAACGCCTTAAATAATCAAACATTACCCATATCTAGGGCTGTAAACGAACTGAACGTTCGGCGAATCGTTCGTGAACTGTTCGGCGGGAAGTTCGTTTATGTTCGTTTATTTAATAAATGAACGAACATGAACAAAAATTATCGTTCGTTAAGTTAAATGAACGAACATGAACAATGGTCTCGTTCGTTCATTTATGTTCGTGAACGTTCGTTTATGATGTTCGTTTACGTTCGTTTATGTTCGTCCGTTTAAGTTTATTTATATTCATTTATATTTAACTTTTTTTATTATATTGCTATATTATATGTTCGTTTATATTCATATATGTTCAATTGTGTTTTTTTATCTTTGTTCGTTTATGTTTGTTCGTTTATGTTCGTTTAGCATGTTCACGAACATAAATGAACGAACATGAACACGGTAATTTGATAAATGAACGAACATGAACAAGAAAATCTCGTTCGTGTTCGTTTGTTGTTCGGCTAACTTAAACGAACGAACATGAACAAGACCTTGTTCGTGTTCGTTTGGTTCGTTTACAGCCCTACCCATATCCATCTTTTGTGTTTGCCTATTTCTTACCTTAGAAATCATTTATGGTAAAAAAAAAAACACCCCCAATGTTTAAACCTACAACATTTTTATGATCTTTGGTGTTATGAAGTTCTCTTTGGTCCGGTTGGTATCCTAATTGTTGGGTCATATCAATAGTTATTAAGGCTTGTAAGATAGAATAAGGAAAATGTTATGTCATATCAATATTTATAATTCTTATAAGATGAAAAAAAATCTTTTATAATATTACGTGTTTGATTTCAATACATAGTTCTATAGAAATTTCATATCATAATTATGTATTTGTCTATCACCATTGTCATATTCAAGGTTATCAAAATCATAATTTATGGTCATTTTACGTTTTGCAATATCGTAATCGTAAGATAGAATCGATGTAACATCCTAAAAATCACAACAAATTTAAACTATTTTAAAACGATCATTTTACTAATAAAATTGTTTACAAAACCACTGTTTTCAAAATATTATTTAAAATCGCAGTCTCCCAAGATCAACAACATAAAAATCCAGGATGTGTACGGTCATGCATTCGCCTTCCCGCGATCATCAGAAGTACCTTAAACAATAAACTTAACCGTAAGTCAAAGCTTACTGAGTTCCGATAAGTACCACCACATACAACATATTAAACAACAACATGCATAACCGAGCCTTCAGCCTGATTGGACCGCCTCGCAGGGCCTACAACTTATCTGGACCGCTCCCGGGCCATTCGACATGACTAGACCGCCTCGCATGGACTACAACCAATCTGGACCGCTCGCTGGGCCTTTGGCCTGACTGGACCGCCTCGCAGGGCCTACAGTCTATCCGGATCTCCCCATGTATCTTGGCGTTCAACACAAAGCATACTGCCTCAACCCAACCACACATAACATGTTGACATATACATAACAGATAAATATATAACCAGTCAACAGACATATCTACAGATCACTACCGCATGCTAACATCCCATATACCAGGATACCGATTTAACAGATCACTACATCATAACAACATCCTAAATATACCAGGATACCAATCTAACAGATCACTACATCATAATAACATCCTATATACCAGAATACATATCTAACCGACCACTACAGCATAGCAACATACGATAAACTAAGATATCAATCCAAAGGGTTGGCCTTGGTGCCTTTTGACCCGTAAGTACAGTGAGGAAAAATCACCTCTCAATCTGAACAATAGCTGATGAGGTCCCGACTCCGAATCTCAGCTCTGACCGACACCTATCCATCCAAGTGACCAATTCAAACACAATCCAAAATACCCAAAATACCCTCAAGTCAAAGTTGGTCACCCTTGGTCAAAGTCAAATTGGTCAAAATCAATAAGTCAACTGAGTCAACCTAGCCAATTTAACTCAGGGCGCATACGCGGGGTGTACTCCAGAAGTACGTGGGGTATACTCGAGCATTAACCGCATATAGGAGAGTTGACCTCGTACGCGTTGCGTACTCAAGTTACGCAAGGCGTACGCCCAGACTTCCCAAACTTCATTAAGAGCTTAATGCCTTAAGCTCTTACGTCCAATTTTCAGATCCAAGGCTAAATCACCCTCAAGAGTCATAAAGTTTCCAAATTTATGACTTTGCATGTCGATTAAGTTCTTAACTCAACATATTAATACATTAAGACCTTTTAAAGAATACATGGAGAAAAACCAACCATTAAGACCCCATTTTTTTATGACTCAAGACCCTTCCTAAGGTCTGAAAGGACGACTTATTCGGTCAAGAACATGCCATGCTCAAGAATCACCACTTTCGGACCAAAAAGTGTCTTAAAAGAGCAAAAGTCTAGATCTACAAGATAGAGTGATCAAGATGCTAACTTTTTACCTTCTAGAGGTTTCTATCAAGGAAGAAATCATAGATCCAAGGTGCTTCCCAATTCCAAGCTCTTCACGCCACACTGTTCTCCTTCAAGAACACTTCTAAACACTCACATGGGCTTCAAAAAGGCACTCTTTCACTTACGGTTTGTTTGGGATCGATCTCACATAGGAAGTCTGAAGAAGGATGTGACAACCCGGAAAATTTTTGGTTTTAAGACCCAGTCAATCAACTCAACTGAGTATCAAACTCATTAGTACTGAGTTCTAGCCCGGTTAAAGGTCATTCTAAGGAGTTTTGAGCCTAATACACTTAAGGAATAAGTGTTAGAAAGTACCTGCTAGAACCACAGTGTAGCAAATCAAACCATAACCTCATCAAAATGAGTTCACGGCCACAAGACCATGAGTTTACGGCCGTAAACTCATGTGGCTGTAAATTCAAGGTTATATAGATGATACTTGGCCATTTTTCTCATTCTTTCCTTCCTTGGCCGATTTTTCTTCAAATCCTCTCAAGTATCATCCAACTTTCTTCCTAGATCTTCAAAAGATGTAAGTATTCTTCCTAGATTTGTTGATACATCACTTAATCTAGTATCCTTCCATGATTTCATTCATAGAAATCACTCTTTTCTTAGATCTTCAAGTTTCACCAAGAACACACACTAGTGTTCTTGGCGAATATCAACCATTTCAAGCTTCTAGATCGTAAGTACTCTTCCCTATACTTCATATCTAGTTCGGACTCATGCTTAGAGACTTGAAACATGCATTCCCCCAAGAACATGTTGAGTTTACGGCCCAAGATCTCCCTTGGCCGTAAACTCAATGTTAAAGCATGTATGGACCATAAACCCTATAAGATGCAAAGCTAGTGACCCAGAACCCTTCCTTGATGATTGAAGGACCTTAAACTTCTCTCAAACACATAAATGATTATGAGTTTACGGCCGTAAACTCCTATGGGCCATAAACTCATCAAAAGCCTTCAATGGGTTGGTCTTTTTCATACAAGTGTAGAACAAAAGTCCCTAAAGTTTCTATAGCTTTCAAACCAACATTAGGCATGTTTGACCATGAGTTTACGGCCGTAAACTCCCTTGGGCCGTAAACCCATGGTAGTAAACTCAAGTTAGTGCCATTCCACTTCCCTTTGATGAATCACATGTGATTCCAACACTTGGTCAAACTGTTTCCTAGTCCCGTAAGGTGTTTCCTTTCATATAGTTGTTTATAAACACTATATTCATGTCAATATGTGTCCTTATATGTCATTTAGGACCTATTATGTCTCGGGACTTCATTCGTGGAACTTCTCATCCTTACACGCATACCCGTTTGAATCACCCACATCAGGTGAGTTCATACCCCGTAATGAATCTTTTAACTGTTTTAAATGTTTTAAGGGGGGGGGGGAATACAAGTTGAACACAATGATAATTGTGTAAATGTTTGTTATAAACATCTTTCAAA